TCTCATCTGCAGAACAATTTTATATGTGGACGAAAGCCAGTAAGCTCTTTTCAGTGATTCGTAATATATTTAATTTGGTCTCATTCTCCTTGAAACTTTTATAGGGTTTTTCAAAGATTTTAATGCGGCAAACGCCATTTTATATCTGAAAGATCCGAAGATGATCAAGCAAGTGGACAGTCAACTAAGTAAGCTTTTTTTCACATTTGGAAATAGGTGAAGTGTCATAAGAGCTAAACTCGAATTTACGTTTTGCGGTGTAATTTTGATTTTGAAATCAAAGACCGGTCTCATCACAAGTTGCTTTATGGCTTTTTTTTTCACCGATCAGTCATATTGTGTTGATCCACCCTTTTCTGATTTCCCTCACTGAGACTTATTCCCTTTCGTTATACTTATTGTTATACTTGGATAATTCATCTTTATTTATTCCTCTTCTTCCTGGTGGAACTTTTCAAACTATTCAGAAACTTTGCTGTAGGTCACCAAAAGGGGATAAGAAGGTGTAACTGGTCATTCGCCTGCTTGTGAGCTGATTTCCACAACACTAAAACAATGTCAATTCAGAAAACGTCGATGTGAATCAGTGGATGAAATTTTCATGGAAAGTGAGAATGAAGGCAGCTATGGCTAAGGTTCGCTTTTTCTTTGTAATATTGAGACCCGATGGGTTGAAGTTATGAAAACAGCCAATCCTTTATCTTTAGAAGTATTTTTAGAGGGATATTGAAAAGTTTGTTGTGAAGGAAGACCTCGCTCCTTTGTAAGGATTCTGTTTACGCCAGTTTCTTTCGATTATTAGCCTCTTATTTGGATAATTGGTTCGCAATATCTTAGCATGACTGATTATGTCTAGGTGTTTGGTGGGATGTGTCAGAAAGCGCTGGGTGCGATTTGACAAGCGAATTGGAAGGTGTGAAAATGTCTGTGTTCCCGGAACGGTCGCAGTACCACACAGTACTAGTCCTAGTTACCGTAGACTTTTCAGTTTAAACAAAATCGGAGGATGCGGTATCAACTTTTTCGGACGATTGGATCGACCTTAGTGGAAGCCAACGTTGATGACACGTACTGGGGAGTAGGACTTTCTTCAGGTTCGTCCTTTTTTTAATGAGCTCTAATTCATTTTCATACTTTTGTTATCCTTTTATTTGAGTTTGCATTTTTTGAATTTCTGCTAGACCAATTAAATCTTTTTCTCCTTTTCATTCTTGGTGTGTTTATCTATTTCGAATGTTTATGCTAAGTAGGTACACGTTCTACACAATCCTACTTTGTAACTTATCAAGTATGCACGTTTCAAATTGAGAATTTTTTTAAAGCTCGTGCAGTTAAGGTTAAATAAAAGTGGCCTGTAGTAGAATTCTTCTCTTCAAACCTCTGCCATCATGATCACTCACTAACGAGGGGAGGTCGTTCAGGGCGTGGAGCGCTTTTTGAAAACGGTTTTTTGCATGAAATAGGGGCAGGTGCAGTGAACACAGATCTATGGTCCATTTCCGCTAAATGGCCTTCTGAATGCCAAAAAAGGAGTGAAAATCATTTTGTTGGAAACTGCAGTTTTTACTTGTTAAACGTGGTGTGTTTCATTCATGGCGTCAACTATAGGCATAGTAAAAGGTCGTAGTGAACTGTGCATCGAAAATAACGTGAGGTTTAGCCAAAAATGGATCCTTGTCATGCTACATGCTACGGAGTGTGCGGAAGATTCATAACAGCTATCTGCAGCTTGGATGTCGGCAGCGACGGATGGCTTAGCGGATAGTGCTGTGGACTGGAGTTGGCACGAGTGGACTGAATGGTTGGTGGTTCGGATCCTCCGCGCCGCGCGTTTTGCATTTTATGCTGGCACCTCCATCTTGGCTCCAAACTGCACCAGTGCCAAAATGAGTGTCTGACTGGTCATTGTCGTGACCAGGAGCAGCAATGACCCCGTGCGCTAGGTTTTCACTGAAAACTGGCTAGAAAATTGTATCTCTAGAATGAGAATAAATGACACCAGCAACTATTCGTATTTGTGATCAGCGTGGACAACCCTCGCAGAGCAGACCACGGGATCATTTAGGATTTGCTCGATGTGTAAAATTTTCCATTTACTGCAAACAGATTATTAACACGTGTGGTACAACTCTATAAAGCAAGTGAAACATAGCTGTTTGCCGCACCAGCTGCACTTGACGAATGCCAAGGAAGAGCAGCTACCGGAAGCTCCGGGATGGTCGTCGACGGAAATACTCACGCTCGTACATGCTTGTGCGAGTGATGATGTACCGCAACCTACAGTCACATTTGAAGAATATGTGGTGTGTACCATTTCTGATCTCGACATGGCTTTCTCACCTGCTAGAGTTATTGGCCGCGTTCTATCGTCGTTCACGCCCGATTTTTCTCCTCCTACAAGAAAAGAAATCGCAATTGCCGACGCCTTCAGAGGAATACTTAAGGGCGCAGACTACGACGAGGAAGAAGAGACGCTTCAGGTTACTTTTATAGGAGTTTATGAGCCGTCGCACTGTTAACAAACAGGTCCGAGCTTCTGAAGTGCTGCAGTTTACAGGCAACTTTCGATGAAAGAGAAGACGCTTGCTGGACTCCACAAGATGATGACGATGACCGTAGCAGCGTTACTATTTCACCACGGAGGACTGTTTTCTTCGACGGCAGGCCCATTCCTCACGATGCTGTTAGTTGTAGCACTTTGTAACGAAAGCTCAAGTGCAACATGTATTTCGCAGATCGAACCATTGCTCACTACCGCGAGGCTGACAAGGGAACACGTTCTTTAGCTTCCATGAACAACCGGTTCAAGTGGATCAAAACTGAACGGCACATGTATTTGCTCCGCGAGATCGAAAAAAGGAGGTATTCAAAAGCAAACAAAAAAATTCGCAAGTGATTAGGTTGAATTCTGTAAACTTCCTTTTTTCACCCAGGAATGGTTGAAGAATCAAGAGTGCCTAATTTTAAACGCCTCTCCGCTCTTCTTCGAAGTAATGGAAGCCGCCGAACAAGGAAAGGCAAAGTAATGTTAAAATGGAATGCGCCAAAACGAAATGTTTTATTGGTCTCCCGCTGTCGTACGCCATAGTTCGACACCTGGCTGTTCGCCTAAATCGCGAGCACATAGCGTACGCCTGGGTGGCTGCAGGATGCGTCGACGACCATCCAGGAGCTTTTTCGACGCCGGCTGATTACGGTTTCAACGGAGGTGAAATTGTCGGCGGTTGCCAAGGGATCGGCAGCTGCTCTTCCTTGGCATTCGTCAAGTGCAGCTGGTGCGGCAAACAGCTATGTTTCACTTGCTTTATAGAGTTGTACCACACGTGTTAATAATCTGTTTCGCAGTAAATGGAAAATTTTACACATCGAGCAAATCCTAAATGATCCCGTGGTCTGCTCTGCGAGGGTTGTCCACGCTGATCACAAATACGAATAGTTGCTGGTGTCATTTATTCTCATTCTAGAGATACAATTTTCTAGCCAGTTTTCAGTGAAAACCTAGCGCACGGGGTCATTGCTGCTCCTGGTCACGACAATGACCAGTCAGACACTCATTTTGGCACTGGTGCAGTTTGGAGCCAAGATGGAGGTGCCAGCATAAAATGCAAAAAATTTCGCGCGCGCGGAGGATCCGAACCACCAACCCAGTTCCACTCCCTAAGCCATCCGTCGCTGCCGACATCCAAGCTGCAGATAGCTGTTATGAATCTTCCGCACACTCCTCAACATGTAGCATGACAAGGATCCATTTTTGGCTAAACCTCACCGTTATTTTCGATGCACAGTTCACTACGACCTTTTACTATGCCTATAGTTGACGCCATGAATGAAACACACCACGTTTGACGAGACGTAAAAATTGCAGTTTCCAACAAAATGATTTTCACTCCTTTTTTGGCATTCAGAAGGCCATTTAGCGGAAATGGACCATA